CCCTCCTTGGTTTTTCATTTTTCCTTTTTTTCGTTTTATCGAAAGATAATAATGACGAAATGAATACAAAAAAAAAAAAATTATGGAAAATGGAAAAGAATGAAATGAAGAATAAAAACATTATGAATAAAATATTTTATTCAAAAAAAAAATTTTTATAGATTAGAGATTATTACGCGTGCCGCGGTTTTTTTTAGTTAAACGTTTAGAAATTTTTCAAAATGGCGGCGGATATTTAGGAAAATATTTCGCGTTTGCGGTTAATGTTGGATTTGTTTTTTTTTTTTTTTTAACAAAGTTTTAAACGAAAGTTTTTTATAAAACCTTTTACTTTCATCGAAATTTTTCGATCGATCAATAAAATCGATAATTATTAATTATTAATTATTATTGTTATTACGTAAAACTCGCGTTAAATAAAAAAAAAAAAAACAAACGAAAATTTTTTTCTTTTGGATTTGAAAACTTTTTTTTTTGACGTTAAGTTTTCTCTGTTTTTCCTTCTTTTTTCCTTCTTCATTTTCCCTTTCTCTCTTTTTCTCTCTCTCTCTCTCTCCCCCCCTGAAGCTTTCATTTATCGTCTCTTATTTTTCTTTATAATTTCAAGTTCATTTTCATTATTATTATTATTGCAACATGTCAGTCCGTATATTTTTCCTCGCACATGAGCTTTATAAATTTTCGCGGCTTTTCTCGGAATTATCATCATCATCATCATCGTCGTTGTGCTTCTACTTTGTAGGGGGGAAAGGGGGGATTCATAATTGAAGCGAACTACTTCAACTTCCTCAGGCGTTTTATACAATCTGATCATCATCCGCAATTTTAACCGCAGATTTTGTCATTCAAAGGAAATTTCGGAGTAAATTTTTTTCTTTTTTAGCAAACAAACAAACAAACAAACAAGCAAACAAACAACGAAATAAAAAAAATATTACATATTTATTATATAGGAAAGGATTTTAAACTACATATATTTAATTTTAAAGTTTTAATTTTTTTTACGTTGTTTTAAAAAACTTTTGTGACGTAACGATTTCCTTTTTTTGTTTTTTCGTAGATGTTTGGGTCTTTTGGCAAACATGAAAGCTTTTCGTAAATGTTGTCCTTTTCACAAAGAGATAAGAGGTGAAATAATATTGGCATTGAAAAAAGGTACGGCAGAATGGTACGAACAGGTACAAGCGAAATCATTAAGACACGCGGAAAATTCATCTTACAATCATCCGGATTCTGATAGGATTGATCAAACTCTTCAAGCTTTAACTCATCTCGTAACGATACTTTTAATCGATGTCCAAACTGGAATTCAAGCTTTCAATCCAGTTTTCGAACAGTAAATTTTCCTTTTTCTTTTCCTTTTTTTCCTTTTTTTGGAAATTGTTTCTCATCGGCTTGATATAATTTTTTTTTGTTTTTCCAGCACCAACAACGTACATTATTTCAACGCCGTTTACAAACAATTAGAAAAAATGGTAATATTTTATTTTCATTATTATTATCATTATCATTACTATCATTATTATTTATTTATATATATTTGTGTATGTGTGTAAAAACATGAAAATTTATCTCCCGATTTCCACAACATCACAAAGGATAAAAATAACGTCCTCTTGCAATTCTCTCATATTGATTTTCGTCCTCTCTCTCTCTCTCTCATTCCCTCTCTCTCCATCCCGATTTTCCTGTTTTTCATTGAAAGGAAATGTATGGCGGGAAATAGGGAGGAACGGAAGTAGAAAAGGAGAGAGAGAGGGAGAGAGGGAAAAGGCCCTTTTTAGATATATAAAAACATCCTTTCTTTCTCTTTAACTCTTTCTCTCTCTCTCTCTCTTTCACTCTTTCCCTTTTCATTTACTCTTTTTCTTTTTTTCCCTTTAAAAAACATTTTCAAACACACACACACACAGGCACGCAGACATCTTTTCATTTTGTGTATGGTATAAAATTAAATTTTTACAGTTTTTTGTTTTTAAAAATTCCGTGTGTTCCTTTTCCCTCTTTCGCACCCCCCATCCCCCGCATTTAAAAAAGAAAAGGGGGGAAAGTAATTTGATTTTTAACCTAAACAACACGTGCGTGTTTCCTTATCATAATTAGATAAAAAAAGGAATTTTTGTGAAAATTAATTGTAACGATCGATTTTAGACTAAAATCTAGGGGGGGTAGATATTTTATTTAAAAGAAAATTTTGTTTTTCTCATTTCCTCGGGTCATTTGGAAAAAGAAAATTTTTTTTTTCTTTCCTTGTTCTATTACATACGTTTCCTATATTTTATCTCTCACAGGTTGTACGGGACGTCCAATCAGTCATTTCAAAGGTCAAGGTAGACTTAATTAAAAAAAAACAATAATGATAATACCGTTAGATGATTGATTGATTGATTTATTGATTTGGTGATTAATTAGTCAAAAATCAATTAAAATTTACTGGGGATTAAAAAAAAAAAAAGAAAATTCTTTTTTTTTTGACTAATTAAACTTTTTAAAAAAAAAAATAAATTGCGCAAATTATTTTTTTGGCTTTAGCTTACTTACGTATTAGTGCTTAATTAATGATGATAATAATAATAATAATAAATAAAAAGCAGGCATGAAATTTTTTTTTTTTTTTGGAAAAAAATAAAGAAAGGAAAAAAAAATTTCCCGCATGTTTTCCATTTAATTTTTTTTTTTTTGTTTTTTGGGTGAGTTACGCCGCATTCCGAATGACGTTTTCAAAAATTTAAAAGCTTTCGCCTGAGCTTTTTTTTTCTTTTTATTTCCTGCTTGTTTTTACTATTGATTGATTGATTGAGCTTTTTGTAGTTTATTAAAAAATTCATTTTTCCTTTTTTTTTAAATTTTATTCTTATTTTTTTTTCCATATTATACGTAGATAAATAACGATATGGGTCCAAAAGTTGCACAGATTTGTGCCTCGTTAACAACAGACGAATCACAAACGGCTGCTCAAAATATACAATTTGGAACGTCCGTTTTTGAACTTTATTTGGCACTACAAGAATTTGTCAGGTAGGAAATACAATTTTCCTTCTTCTTCTTCTTCTTTTCTTCTAATAAATTAAAAAATGGGGGGGAAGGTGGGAAAAAAAGATGACGAAGGTTCACAGTTTTCGAATGATAAAACCCCCTCCCCAAAAAAAAATTTATTATTTAAACTCGGTGCGTAAAATATAAACGAAAAAATTTTTTTCCTAATGTGAAACATTTTAAAAAATCATTATTATTATTATTCAATTCGATTCGAGAATAATTTCTGTGATGTCACCGAAGGTTTTGTCGGGATAAAAAAAATAAAAAAATAAAAAATAAATATTTATTATTAAGAATATTAATTAATTAATAATTTTTTTTTAATTTTATTTTATTTAGAATTTTCGACTTTATCGATTATTATTATTATTGTTATTATTATTATTATTAATAATTAACGGTCGTTTATTTAAAATATTGCGTGTGAGAAATACCTAAATTTTTTTAGGGGTGAAAAAAAAATCAAAAACTTTTGTGGAGTTAATAATTTATAATTGGGGAGTTGGGAGTAAAAACTTTCAAAGTTTTTTTTTTTATTATGCATGTATATATAAATGTATTTTTTTTGGGGGGGAGGGTGAAGGAGGAAATAAAAAAAAGAAAATTCGATTCATATTCGAAAATTTAAACTCGGAGTAAAAAAAAAAAAAAAAATTATTTAAATTATGAATAAAAAGTTTCGTCTCTTATTCGTTTCGAGGGAGCGGAGAGGAGAAGGGAGGGGAGAGGAGGAAAACTAACACTAAAAAAAAAGTAAAATTAAATGCAAATGAAAAAAAAAAGAATGGAGTCAGAGTGTGAGAGAGAAAAAGAGATTAGAATACATTAAATGTATTTTTTTTTGTTTTTGTTAATGCCTTTGAATAAAAAAAAAACGTTAAATTAAATAAAATGGCGACACCTGAGACGAATTCTTCATATCAACTTTTTATTTAAATAAAAAAAAAAGGAAAATTATTTATTTAAACAAAAGGATTATTTGAATTAAAAAAAAATATGTATATATTTTCTCTCGTTTGTTTATTTACTCGAGACTCGAAAAAAAAAATTATAAAATGTGGGAGAGAGAGAGAGAAAAAGAGAGAAAGAGAAAGAAAAAAAATGAATCTTGGAAAAAATTAATTCCGTTTAAGTACAAAATACAAAACACTTAAACGAAAAAAAAAAAGAAAAAAAATTAATTTTTTTTTTTTTGACGTTTAAGAATCCCGAGGGGGGGGGGGAAATACGTGAGGAGATCCAGAGGGATTCAGGGCGTGACAAAAAACTTTTTTTTTTTTTTTCAAAAAGGAAAAAAAAAAAACGATATAAAACTCATCGCCTACATTTTTAACTACTTTAAACTTCATTTAAAAAAAAAAAAAAGGAAAACATCGTAAATAAAAAATTAAATAAACGGATAAAAAGAAAGAGAAAGTGTGATGATGAATTGCAAAACGAGAGAGAGTGAGAGAGATGAAATGATAGAAAACAAATAGGAAGGAAAATAAAAAATATTTATATGTATATAAATAAAAATGGGAAAAGCAACAGGTTGAAAGTTTATGATGGAAAACGTTTTTTAATTTTCTAACCCGATTCTCTTTCTCTTTCTCTGTCTCTCTCTCTCTCTACCCCTTCCTCCTCCACCCACACCAGTGCACCATTTTAAATTTTCCCCGTATAAAAAACTAATAAAAAATTTTCCCGATAAAAAAAAAGAAAAAATTTTCTCACGGGTTTTTTCCCACATGTATTTATAAAAAAAAAAAAAAAAAAGTTTTACCAACATAAAAATTTTTTTTTCTGTTTTGTTTCGAATAAATAACTTCGTTTTTAATTAAATATTTAACCGCGAAAAAAATCTCTTAACGGCGGAAGATGATGATGATAATAATAAATAACTTAAATTTTTTTTTAAATACGTTTCAAATGGTAATAATAATATTAAGAAAAAAAAGAAAAAATTTCCATGATGTTGTTTCACGACGTTAAAAAGAAAACTCACTATTATTATTATTTATTTATCTCTCTCTCTCTTTTCTTAAATTTAAGAAAATTATTTCCTCGATGAAAATTTAAAAGAAATTTTGACTTTTTGACGTCACACTAAAACGAGGAAATAACTCTTACGTATTTATTTATTATATTTAATCTCACGGTAAATTATCTTTGACACCAGAAATTTTAGTTTTAAATAAATTAATATAAATTATTTTCATTTATAATTAATTAGTGGTTTTTTCTTAAAGAAAAAGGAGGGAGGAGTGGGTGGGTGGGTGGGAAGAGAGAAAATGGGAAAAATGGGGAGGAGGGAAAAAGAACGAATTTATTTTTTTTTGTTTTGTTTTTTACAGTTTAAAAGAAAATTTAAACATATCAGATCAAAAAGTATTAACGATAAATAATTATTACGAGTGGTTCGAACCTGCTTTAGAACAATGGTTAAACGTTGCAAAAATAAAAGCTCTTTATCGTATAAAAGCCGCTTTCGAATTGAGCAGAATGGTTACGGGTGAAAGAATAGTAAGACACAGTACGTCAGCCATCGATGCCACCGCCTGCTTTTATCAGGTAAAAGAAAACGGAAATAAAAAAACGATTTGAAAAAAGGGATGATATTATATTCAATTGTATTTTGTTTTCATAAAAACAGATTCAAGAATTTTGGCGTCAACTCGCTTGGCCTAATTTACTTACCGCCTATAATTTCGTCATGACCATAATCGATATAATTACGTCATCATCATTATATTATTCGGATCTCGTACAACAGAAATTACAAGATTCCGGTTATTACGAAGATTTGGGAGGTTTTAAAGTTTCCGACGATATGTGTATTTCCGTTAACGATTTGGAATACGTCCGAAGATTTTTAAACATGGTCGCAACTTCTTTATCTGTCGAACCCATTTTAGATGCTGTAGAAGCTGCAAATTGTGAAAATCCGTCCCAATGGAGAGATGCCCTATACGGAGTATTAGAAGAAACGAGATTGACACTCGAAGCAAGAGCAATGCAAATCATGTCGAGAATGGGAGTCAAGGTTATTTCGATCATTTAAAAAAAAAAAAAAAAATTTTTTTAGTTTTTCTAACATTTTTGATTTTTTTTTAGATGAGGCCATCTTTAAAAAAGGTCATGTTTCATTTGGCTTGGTCACCTGATTCGTTACCTACGTCGGAAGCCATTTCGCCACTTTTAGAACTTCTCGATGGTTATTTGGTATCATTAAATGCTGCTTTGCTTCCGCGAAATTTCGAACGTTCTTTAGCCGATATATGGGATACGGTACTCATGGAATTGGGAAATCAAATCGATTCTAATTCCGGTGAAAAAGTTTCAGGATTTTACGATAGATTATACGAAGCACTTGAAATATTAGTTGATTTTTTTCACGCCGAAGAAAAGGGTTTGTCTATTGACACTCTTAAATCAGGTACGTAGGTATCCTTTTTTTGTTTTTTTTATTGTTAAAAATTATTTATCGCGAATGATTTATTTCAGTCACATATTGGCAAATCGAACAGAGACTTTCTTATCATCGTACCGATACGGAAAAACTTATTTTATTGTTTTATCAACAACGTTTAATCGATCAAATGAATACGGAAACAAGCGAATATGGAGTCTTATCAGTGAGAGCTTATTTCAATCACGATTCACTTTGTGTGGAAGTTTTAAATGCGAGAGACGTTATACCTTTGGATCCGAACGGATTTAGCGATCCTTTTGTCATAATTGAACTCCTTCCGAGAAAAGTTTTTTCCCACTGTGGAAAACAACAAACGAACGTTCATAAGAAAACTTTAAATCCAATGTTTGACGAATGTTTCGAATTGTGAGTTCCAGTATTATTATCATTATTATTTCATCATTTTCTTTAACGTAATAAATTATAATTAAATTTCGAATGTGCAGTTCGGTGACTCTAGAACAATGTCGGAGCGAAGGTGCCATGATATTGTTTACCGTTATGGATCACGACGTTCTCACATCCAACGATTTTGCTGGAGAAGCTTTTTTAAGTCTTCAAACGATTCCAGGAGTTGCTGATAATTCATCGTCTGTTGATAATTTTCACGGCCTCAAAACTCAAGATTTAAATTTAATGCATCAAAAAAATAAAAGTGAATTACCATTATTAATTACATTTTTTTTTTAAATATAAACAATCATCACCATAATTATTATTATTTTTTTTGTTGTTTTGCTTTCCAGATCATCCGATACTTCAAATTTTAGAAACAAGAACCTGGGATAGAGTAGCACAAGAATTTGCCAAAAAACAAAAGCTAAGATTTGCCATGAGTATTTAAAAAATTCATTTCTTCTTCCTTCTTCTTCTTCTTTATTATCTTCTGCTTCAACATCATCATTATCATCATCTTCTTCTTCTTCTTTTAAACTTTCGTTTAATAAAAATTAATAAACGTGTTTTTCTTTTTTAATTCAATTATTTATATGTATTTGCTGTATTCGAATTTAAAAAAATATCGAAATCGTCGTCGTTGTCGTCGTCGTTTTTTTTGTTAAACAAAATAATTATAAATAAATAAATAAATTTATTTATTCATACGTATCCGTGTAATAATAATAATAATAATAATAATAATAATAATACATAAATGTGTATATTTAAAAACGCTTCGTTTATTTATATATAAAATTAATCGTCGTCTGCTTAAAAAAAAAAAAAAAATTTTTTTTTTTTTTTAAATCTACTTCGTGGCCTTTTTCTAATTAACTATCTATTCGTATATTTATTATTATTATTATTATTAAAAACGTTACATTTATAAATATATATATATTATATATAAATTTTATTTTAAATTTATTATTATTATTATTTATCGAATTCGAATTAAAATTGCTTATTTGTGTGAGAAAGAGAAAAAAAAATGAATGAAATTTTGCTTCGCTCAATCAATCAATCAATCATTCATTCATTCATGAATGAATCGCTATTTAAATGTTGCATTTACACATAATTTCAATCGTATATGAATTTCATTTTTAAATAATAATAATGATGATAGAAATGGCGCGTTTTTTTTTTTTTTGTTATGTTGTGTATTTAGGTTTTCATGTTTGTTTTCTTTTTTCATTTTTTTCTCCACGTTTTTCTTGTTTGTTCGGTTTAAATTTAAAAAAAAAAAGAGTTTATTTATTAAGCTCGTTTGTTATTTATTATTATTATTATTATTATTATTATTATTATTAACGCGGTGTGAACGAAAAAAAAACAAAATGTCCGGCGTCGTGATTATTATTATTATTTTTTTTCCGCGCAATAAATGTCGTATCGATTATGTTTTTTTTTGTTTTTTCGTCGTTGTTTAAATTTAAACATGTTGTGTGTATAAATTTAATTATTTTATGTGAATTTTATTTACATAAATTATAAAACGGAACGAAAAAACAAAAAAAAAAAAATTTTTTTTCCTTGTTTAACCTATTAAAACTTTTAACTATTCCTTTTTAAAAAAAATTACTTTACTTCTTTTTTAGCCAATCAATCAATCAATCAATCAATCACGCTTATTTTAAAAATAAAAATAAAACAATTTATATAATAAATTAAATATAAATAAAATTTATTTTTTAAATAAAACAAATCACAAATTATTTTATCTATTATTATTATTATTATTAAATTAAAATAATGGTTTTTTTTCATGTCATGTTGTTAAAAAATAAATTAATAAGCGATTATTAATATTATTATTATTTAAAAATAAATAAATAAATAAAACTTTTGTCGCGGACAAAAGGATTTTTAAAATGAAATTTTTTTTACATAAATAAATACTCTTTCTCTCTCTCTCTTTCTCTTTCTTATTTTTGGTAACTATTAATTACGTCCGTGTATCGTTTCTCTCATTTCTTTTCCAGATGTTTCGTATGGTAAAAAATAACTCGCGACGGCAGCGGAAATCGCAGCGAGACCATAAACGGTAACGGTCAACAGTAAAGAAGTTTTGACCAAAACTTGAGCTATGTAAGGTGTTATCATGGCTCCCAGACGTGCCATCGCACTACAGCTTCCGACACCTACGGATCTCAACGGAGTAGGATAAACCTGTAAGTAGTATTATTATTATTAACTTGTTGTTTTGATTAAGTCTCTACATTGGAAACGAAAAAAAGAATTTAAAAAATTACTTCTGGAGTGTAAACGTAAGCAGCTTGAAATACTCCAGCAATGATACCTCGAGCAGCAAATAATATCACAGTTAATAAAACTCTCCTGTAATTAATTAAATAATTAATTAATTATGATAAATTCGAAAGAAACTCGAGGGGAGGGGAGGGGAAGCGTAAGGAAAAAAAAAGTGAAGGTAAGTTTTTTTTTTAATTCGAAGAGAACGGTTAAAATTTTTCGCTTTGTAATGATGAAACGGTTATTTAAAAAAAATTTCACGGTCAACAAACGCATTAAAAAAAAAGAAACTAACTCGGATGTTGCGAATAAAATGAAAAAAACGCAAAATGAAAAAACCAAATGTTGTACAGTCATAGTTTTCCTCCTTCCAAATCTTTCTATAATAAATATTGTAACTAAAATCCCTGGAAATTCTGCTAATGTTGTCCATAATAAATCTATGTAATCCGTTGTTGTTAATTCTTTACAATCAGCCGCGCATGATTCGCTTTTTTTAGCTGAATTTTGAGACCCTTGAAATAATTCTGTAGTCATTAAAACTAATCCGTAATAACAAAAAGCAGAAGTTAACCTTTTGAAAAAAAAAAAAAAACAAATCATTATTATTATTATTATTTAATAATTTTTTGAAATTAATTTGAGAAAAAAAGAGAATCGAACCATATAAACCATAGCAAAATGCTAGTTTTTCTTAAATCCGGACCTAAAAGATCTTGAATTCTTCCTCTTTGACTCGAAGGACTCGTACCTTCTACCACTAGCCTTCCAAGTAACATTGGTTTACCATTTTCTTTGGCGACTCTTTGTAAAGTTTCAAGAGCTTTTTCCTGTTGTCCTGATGCAACATGAAATCTTGCACTTTCAGGTAGCAGCTATATAAAAATTTACGACATATAACAATTTTTATCGAAAAAAAACAACAATAATAATAATATAAACACGAACCGGACAACATATCACAAATGCTAAAAGTGGAGCTGTTGATATTGCCAACAACCATTTCCATCCAAGTGTAGGCATTATAAATAAAGCTAATAATACTTCGACGCAAGCTCCCAAAGCCCAAAAACACTAAAAATAAAAAAAATTTCTAGCTAAATTTATGTCGGTAATGGCGGCAGAACAAACAAAACAAAAAAACAAAAACTCACGTCTAAAAGTACGACGCATTTCGCTCTTTGTTTCGTTGGTAAAAATTCCGCGTAAAGAGTAACACTTGAAAACACACCAAAAAAAAGAAAACCGTTAAATTTTTTCTTTAATTACTTTTGTAAAAAAAAAAAAATTAACGACTTACGATTGAGGAACGCAACCAATAGCAAAACCGACCATTCCTCTAAGGCCCAATAACCAAATATAATTTGGTGAAGCAGCACTAAGAAGACCGTACCAAAATAATAAATAAGCACAAAGTGTCAATGCTGTTTTTCTACCGTATTTATCTGAAAGGTTACCCCAAAACGTAGACGATAGCATCATACCTAAAAAAACAACCTGAAAAACAAATTTTTTTTTTTTATATTTAAAACCGTACAACAAAAAAAAAAAAAATGTGGGAAAAGTGATAACATACGGTTGTTGTCAATGCTTCTTGATATCTGGATATGTGCCAGGTACAGTGTAATGCTGGAGACAGTATGCTGAGTATGGTCATTTCCATGCTATCTGCCATCCAGCAAATACCCGTAAAAAATGACAATTTCACTTGAAATTTTCCAAATCCGAATGCGTTAACTGCTTGAGTAACCGTATAAGTATCTATAAAGTAAAAAATAATAATAATAATATTACGTTATTTAAATTTATTTACGTAGTTTTAAAAAAAAAATTATTCAAACCATCGGGTATAACCGAAACCGATGTCAATTCAATATCCGGTTCTTCGTTGGTTCTACCAGATGATGTACCAATTGAAGAAGGACCAACATTATGATCACTTAAATCTTCATATTTTGATGTATCCTTTCGTCTTCCTATTAATTTGGGCATTGTTATTTATTATTATTAACTTCACTAAATTTTTTTTTATGTCACAAACGAATTCTCACGTATCCATTTTTCAATTTCGATTTCTTTTGTTTGTTCGTACGTTCACCACATTGGTAATATTAAATTTCTTCTTTGTCTATTCAAATCGTTCATTTTGAACATATTAAATTTAAAAATAAAAACAAATTGAATACTTATATAAAATGAGTGTGTTAATGACAACTGGACGACGTTTATTCTGCTATTTTAGGCTCTAACTTAATAAAGGTGTGTGTGTCTGGTTTTTTCCCCTACCATCTTCGTACCTGATAAGTTCATCGACATTACTGTAAATAAATTAATTCAAATAATAAACGATAGAATGCGTAAAAATCGTTATCTTTTTTATTTTTTTAATGTTAATAATATATCCAAATAATTTTTTATTAAAAATTTTTAAAGTTTAGTAAAAAAAAAATTAATTGATTGATTGATAAATTTTCAGGTATCATTTTAAACGAATTTACAAAATTTTTAATAATTATTTTTTTTCTTAAATTATTTTTTAAAAAAAATATTAATAATAATTTAAAGACATACGTTTACATTTATTTTTTTTTTAATCGTTTTAAAATGATTTGATACCATTTAAAAGTTTTCCTTTTCTTAAATGTTTTTTTTTTTTTTTTAAATTAAAATTTGTAAGTATTCTCGAATTGAATTGAAATTTTGTGAAAATTTAATAAACGAATTAATTATATGTTTAGAATAAACTTACGTTATTATAAAAAGATGATTGAAGTCTTCGAATTTAGTAAAAAAAAGAAACACAAATTAATTATATTAATAATAAATAAATAAATAGAAAAATATACGAGTTTTTTTTTTTTGGAAACAATTTCTTGTTTTTAAAAAATATTCTTTCTTGACTGTCTGGATAAAAAAATTATAACTATTTTATGTGGGATTTTTTGATGAGATCATATGTGCAAAAATAACTTTTTTAAAAAGAGTTTATAAAAAGTTAAAAAAAATTATGTAATTTGTTTTATTATGATAAAAAAAAAGAAGGAAAGCATTGTTATTTATTAAAGCTTTACTTATTTATTTATTTATTTATCATTTCATAAATTTACATATTCAGGAATTATTTTTTTACAAAAAGAATAAATAATATATATTAAATAAAAAAAGGAGCCGTTTTCGTGACACGTCCCACGAAAAAA